TATCGACGCGCATTTTTATAACATGAAAATGAAAGAATATTTTTTATTAAAAAAAGTAAACAAGACAACATTTTTATTAACAAAAAAACTCACCTACAAAAACGCCTGATAATTATGCACTAAGCCAATAATATAAAGTAAGCCAACAATATATGCAAGGTAAATCAACAGTAATATGGCAAAAAGTTCACAAACTAAGAATTGGGAATGGCACAGAAAAACAACTTCGGGCAAATAGCTTTCTGACTTCAAGACAAGACAGATGGGACTGAGTGAAATGAAACCGAGAACCGACCTATTTTATTGGCTAGGAATAAATCCCAGCATGCATTTGTGTGCTTCTTCCTAGAAAAAGGGAAAGATCAAGTATTTTGAAATCATTCCCTGAGAGATTGAAACCAACAAAACCGTTTAAAATACATTTTCATAAACATAATCTAATATACTGTGTGATGTGATAATGTATGTATTGCTCATCATTAGAACAGCTGCAACAAAAATGCACCGAATTTGTTGATGTATTTATAATTGCTGTGTAGCCATTTGACTTGACGCACACATGTCTCGAAGAAAGCGTCCGTAAAAATTAACTTCATTTTAAGATGGCGTAATGCGTCGAAATCAAAAGCATTGCATGTGTTTAATAATACAACTGTCGTCGATTTTCACAGAGACGCATTAAAACATTAGTCTTTCTCTTTCACCGTCATTTGCCTTGAAAGATCTGCCCTTCTTTCTCACTTACAAATTCATTGAAACATCTGCCTTCCTCTCTCACTTACAAATTCATTGAAACATCTGCCTTCCTCTCTCACTTACAAATTCATTGAAATGTCTGACCTTTTTTCTCACTTACAAATGCACTGAAATGTTTTCTGTTTTCTCTGACAAATGCATTGAAACATCTGCCTTTCTCTCTCACAGATCCATTGAAACATCTGCCTTTCTCTCTCAATTACAACTGCCTTTCTCTCTCACTTGCAGATGCATTGTAAAACTGCCTTTGTCTCTATCTTACAAATGCATTGAAACATCTGACTTTCTCTCTCACTCGCAGATGCATTGGAACATCTACCTTTCTCACTCACAAATGCATTGAAATGTCTGCCGTCCTCTCTCACTTACAAATGCATTGAAACATCTGCCTTTTTCTCTCACTTACAAATCCATTGAAACATCTAACTTTCTCTCTCAATTACAAATGCATTGAAACATTTGCCTTTCTCTCACACTTAAATATCCACTGAAACATCTGACTTTCTCTCTCACTTACAAATGCATTGAAACATCTGCTTTTCTATCTCTCTAAAGGATGTACGATACATCGGCTTTTCTCTCTCACCAGCTGATGCCTAGAAACATCTACCTTTTCTTCTCGTCAATTAATGCATTTTGCCTTTCTCTCTCCCGAAAAGTTGATAGAAACATCTACTTTCCTTCTCGCAAACTGATGCATTAAAAAATCTACTTTTCTTTCTCGTCAACTATTGCACTGAAAAATCTGTCTTTCTCTTATTCCCAACTGATGCACTGAAACATCTCCATTTCTCTCTCACTAACTGATGCCTTGAAAAATCTAGCTTTCCCCCTCACAAATTGATGCATTAAAATATCGGCTTTTCCTTTCTCCAACTGTTGCATTGAAATATCTACCATTCCTTCACACCAACTGATGAACAGAAATATCTACCTTTCCCTCTTGCAAACTGGTGCATAGAAACATCTAAATCTCTCTCAGAAACAGATGCCTTGAAAAATCTGCCTTCTCACCTAATGATGCATTGAATGATCATTTTTTCCTTCTCACGAACACTGAAATATCTGCCAGACTCTCTCAGTAAGTGTTGTATTGAAATATTATCCATTCATTCTCACTTCCTAATACAGTGAAACACTCTCTGCATCCGATGCTTTGAAACATCTACCTTTATTTCTCTTTGAAATATTTGCTTTTCTCTTTCGACTGTCGATGCTTTGAGACATTTACCTTTCTTTCTCTTTCTCTCTAAATCACCAACCGAAGCTTTGAAACATTTGCCTTTTTCTTTCACCGACCGATTCTTTAAAAGATTTGCCATTCTCTTTCATCAACCGACGCTTTGAAACATTTGCATTTCTCTCTCGCCAACCAATTCCTTGAAACAGTTGCTTTTTTGTCTCACCGATCGATTCTCTGAAACATTTCTCTTTTTCAATGTTTGAACACTGGCCTTTCTCTTTCACCAACAGTAAATAAATATATTTTAATGTGGTCAGTAGCCGATTAAATCTATTGTTAATTGCTATGGCGAAGAACATTTTTTTAACATCTTTTATATATACACTGCTGTCTGTGATTATTGGCATGATTTCTATATGGAGAAGAAAAGATTTCTTGTGGTTGCCTCTTCCTTTTAAATGTTAAGCGGATCTATACACAAGTATTACTTTTGACAATTTTATATGTAAGACCTTACAAAAATTCTTTGTTCATAATTAATTGTACAAGCAAAGTATTATGAGGAGAAATTACAATTTCTTTCATATATAAATGATGAATGTTAAAAAATATTAGAATATTGTCATCTACTAGTAATACCAGTTTTCCTATTTTGCATTTTCTGCTGAATTATAATTAAGTTAATGATTAAATAAGTTAATGGCGAGTTCTACAACTATATCCGTGAAAATTCCTTTATTGTGTCGTTAAATATTTGAGCTTTACAAATTAAAAAAAATTGCAATTACAATCATAACTGAGAATTCAGTTCATTATCCAAAGAATTAAAAGGGTACAAATGAAAAATTTTAAATTGACAAGATTTTTCCAATTCACTGAATCAGACGTTAAATACACGAGGGCGTTATCGCCTCCACCATGTTTCTTTCTTTCTTTTATCACTGAAACCAAAAAGTTTTTCTGATGCATTTTCTTGTGAGCCAAACGGAATAATTTATTATTTGTGAAGTATTGGCAGAATATAACGTACGCGCTAAGGAATTAACAGAATTATAATATAATGTATTTTCAGAAGAAAGCAGTTTGAAAATTTCAGCCACAACTATATGCGTTGTAGTGCAGTGGATATAAGCTCGGGATGAGAACTTGGAGAACCGATTTCGAATTCCAGTTAGGATCGTTACATTCGCTTACGAGCATATACTCTTGGTAAAGTTATGAATCTATCACTTCTCCTCCCAGCAGTGGGTTGTATAGCAGAGAAGGTTGGGTTGGCAACCAATCTACCATAGAAAGAAATTACAACCTAAATTTTTAAAAGCATTTCACCCCAAGCAAGGCGGAAGTGCCACTGGCACGCAGGGGGTTACAGAGTGTTAAAGTAAGTGTAAAGAGGGGTGTTTGAGGAAAGGGTAAAGAGAAGGAGGAGGATCAAGATCAAGGCATCAGAAAATGTCGATTGACATTACATTTAAATTTTTGAAGATTATAGTTATTAGGCAAGCAAGTAAGAGGAAGGGAGTTCCACTGTCAGGAAGTGCGAGAGAAGCTGTTGGAGTAGAAGAGGCGGTTACATTTAACTGTTTCGACTTTAAAAGGGTGTGAACGAGATGTCTACTTAGTAGCACCCTTAAATTCGTGCAGCTGCGGCACCAGTAAAAATAGCTCGTTAGAGCAGATGACATGAAAATATTTGTAGAAAAGACAGAGGGAAGCCACATCACGTTTGTGAGAAAGTGATTGGAGTCGAGATGCCAGCTCAGGACCTATCACACTGCATATCCGTCATGGATTTTATGCGAGAAAAACTCTACCTAGTCGGTCATGAATCGACAGAGACGTGATCGCTCAAGTTTGTATCCTATATGGCACTTAACTGAGTGAATTTCAACCACAATGTAATTATAGTATTTTCGATCTTCTGCAAACAAGACCGAAAAATCCTATACTTATATGCTTAGAAAATCACCAAAAGTTATAGGATTTAGTGAAGTAGCTGGTCCCTTATAGTAAAAAAGCTGTACCACCAATCCACCAGTGCCATTGAAATTTGTTAAGTCTTGATTTGAATTTGAATTGTTTCAATAAATCACAATTAACCATTGAGAATCAAGTCCTAAGCTGGGAGACTTGCTTTAAATTCTACTTCCATAGCAAGTATAGGGAAGTTCACTTTTAGCCTGCTCTGCTTCAGCGGGGCACATCTACAGTCAGTACCCCTCCCATGGAGAAGGGCTGGACTTAATTCCTGGTTGCTGAGATGTCTCCATAAGGAAATACTTCTGAGCAATTTATCTAACCAGTACCATCTACGCGTGGGACTTCCACTTTCAAATCGCCCTTGTGCCATATTCCGTTCGAGTTGGCGTACGGTTAAATATAGTTAACTGTTAACCAACTCAGACCCAGAGGGCCCTCTTTCCAGAGAGTACATCCCTCGTGAAGAAGGGCTTAGGTTAAACTAAGAGAAATGGTGGATCGGCTGATCTTGCTATGCCAAATGGGAAAAGTCTGCAGGCTTAAAAAATAAATTCAGTGTTCGAAATCTCATCTTTTATCTTAAAACGAGCAACATTGACAATTATGCAAGTGTGTCAGCCACAAGGCAGGACAAATGGTTTTGAAAAAATAGATTTTAGAGTGACTTCATTTGTGAAAAGCAGGTCAGGCGTTGGTGGATTCTAAATGGAGATGAGAAAACGAGAATGGGTGTTTTGACTAATACTTCTTCCCCATTTTTATTTTTTTTGACATTTTCAACGTCATCGCCAGCTGATATGACTAACAGAACTGAATAACAAGACAAAATAAAAAGAAGAGAAAATAATAATATACAAATGGTCGTGGTGGGGGGTCTGTGCTTACTTGAGGATACTTTTTAAATACATCAGTTTTTACAGGGTTCTTTCGAAATAAAACAAAAGGTTTTTGAAAGATTAAAAACTCATTATAAGGCCTATTTCAATGGTTTGTTTGAGGGTCTTTATTAAAAATGTATAATTTTAAATATAAATAATTCTTTGATATGTATTTTGAAAATTTCGTGAAAGGAAAGAAAGAACTAAAGAAAGAAAACAAAAAGTAAGAAAAGAAAGAAAGATAAAAGAAAGAAAAAATGAAAGCAAGAGAAAGAAGGAAAGAAAAAAAGAAAGAAAAATGAAAAAGAAAGAAAGAAAAGCTCTGTAACCCAAAAATGAAGTGAAAGAAGAATCGAAGAAAAGCAAGCAGAATGAAGAAAAAAGAAATAGAAAATGAAAAGAAAGAGATAGAAATAGGGAAGAATATTGGGGTTATAGAAAAAGATTACAAAAATAGAAATATCAAACGGAAAGGAAAACAGAATAGAAAAGGAAGGCAATATACGGAAAGAAGGACGTAACAGAAGAAAAATAGAGAGAAGAAAAGAAAGAAAATCAACAACCTTTATAAATAAATGAGGATGAAAGAAATAAGGGAAATAAAAGAAAGAAGAAAAAAAACAAGAAAAACTGAAGAATGAGTAAAACTAACCAAGATTGAAAGAAAAAGCAAAATAAATAAAAGAAAAGAACAGAAAAAAAAATAAATTAAAAAAAAATCAATGAAAAATTGAATTATATGAATAAAAATAAATAAATCATTAAAAGAAAGAAAGAAAATCGAAATAACGTAAGAAAAATCGAAAAGGAAACTGATAAACAAGCAGAAAAAATAAAAGAGAATAAAAATGAAGCATTGAAAGAAAGAAGATAAAAGGAAAAGTGAAAGAAAGAAATTTAGAAAGTGAAAACAAAAATAAATAAATAAAAATGGAAAAAAAGAATGGATGAAAAAAGGAAACAATAGAAACGAAAAAAAATAGGGAAAAGAAAGAAAGCGATAAAGCACAAATTAACATGAAAGAGGAATAGAGAAAACAAGAGAAAGTGAAAAGAAAAAGCGGAAATAGAGGAAAAACGTAAAGAAAGTGAGATAGAAACCATAAAAGAGAGAGAAATGTCAAAGGGGAAAGAAAAAGGAAAGATGAAAAGAAAGAAAAATGAATAAAAGCAATCGAGGAAAAATTAGAATCAAATAAGAAAGAAATATAAGTGAAAATATTAAAATGAAAAAAAAGAAAGAAAACGAAAGAAAAAAGTAAGAAAATGAAAAAGAATGACTATTAAAAAGAAAAGAGGACAAAGAAAAAAAAAGGAATAAAACAAAGAAACAAAGTAAGAAGACCAAGAAACGGAAGAATGAGCAGAAATAAGAAAAAAAATGAAAGAGAATAGAACAAAAAAAAAAACGAAACATAAAAGAAAGCGAAAAGAAAAGACAAAAATCTACAAAAGAAAGAAATATGTAGGAGTAAAGTCATTCGAAGAAAGAAAAATCGAAAAAGAAAAATAGGAAAATAAATAAATGAAAAACAGAAAAATCGACTGAAAAATGTGAAACAATAAGAAAGAAATTAAGATCGAAAGATGGAAAGAAAATGGACAAACAGAAAGAAAACGGAAATGAATAAAAAAAGAAAAGTGGAAAAAGAACAAAAAGAAAAAAAAATGACTGAAAAAGTGAAACAATAAAAAAGAAAAAACGTGGGAAAAAGAATGAAGGAAAATCGTAAGAAAAATATCTGAAAAAAAGAAAGAAAGTAAAAAGAAGCAGAGAGAAAGTGAACTGGTAGAGATTAAAATGAGGCAATGAATTTCAGAGTAAGGACGTGTAGAGTTCAACGCCCTATTCACTCGCCCTGTGTATTTGGCATTTTGTTGAGCAAAAAGGATAAATGAGAACCTATCTTCACTGTATCAACACCAAAGGAGAAAATTTTCGAATTATAACTGAATGTCGGTCAGATTCAGCAAAGGAAGGAATTAACAGAGAAAGTAAACAGAACATCGAGAAAAGAATCCTCAATGATATCAGAATCAAAGAACACTGATTCTATTTTTATTAGAATCTGCTGAGCTTTAATTAGGAAATACATGTATATATTGGAAGCTCGGATTGAGAAATCAGAGAGCCGAGTTCGAATTCCAGTCTAGTTCAATACATTCACTTATATACTAATATCCTTGGGAAAGGTATGAATCCATCTCTTCTCCTTCCCAGATAAAGGTTAATAGCAGGACAGACAAGGCCCTATAGATAAGGGTGATGAACGGTCTAGGAGTAGGACAACTCTGAATTCAAAACCTGTCAAGGACCGGTTGGGGGACTTGTGGCATATTGTGAACCAGTTCTCTGTATTCGGCTTTTCCAAAGTGTGGTTGGTTCAGGCAAAAGGCTTCATCATTATAAACAAATGATATATGCAGGTAGTGTGGGTGTTGGTTTTAAGAACTGAGATGCTTGACTCTCATATGTCGAAAACGACGGGAGAGTCCAGTATATATATATAGTGTGGGGGGGGAGAGAGAGAGAGAGAGAGAGAGAGATGCATGCATATACCCTGCAAAATATTTTTGCTCGATTTTTTCACAGGAGAGTCCAGTATATATATATATATGCCGGGTATAACAGCAAAATTGTCCAAATCGTGTAAAAGCAAAATTGTTCATTTGTTAGATTAAGCTTTGAATCGTATCTTAGAAATGATTAAAGATATCTTACTGGAATTCTCCCAGATTTTTATAATACTATTATTATTACCTTATCGTAATAAGTATGTATAATTACTTTCCAAGGTTCACAGAAGAATCGTGATGAAATCGATCATAATCGAAAATGACATGTTCATCATTAATTATTCATAGCTCAGGATCGGAAGGTCATGAAGGATTGAAATAAAGTTCAACTATATATATATATATATATATATATATATATATATATATATAATATGTGGATATAGATCTGACAGTATGAAGAAAAATATGAAAAAACAAAAATCCGAATATGCAAGTATGCTGTTTTAATGTTGTTTCAAAGTCGACGTCAGACGTTTCGGTCTAATAGACCTTCTTCAGGACATAGTTATTAAAACGTAATTAAAACAGCATACTTGCATATTCGGATTTATGTTTTTCCATATTTTTTTCATATATATATATACATATATATATATTATTCCAAGATCATTGTCCTAGAGTAACAAGGTGCCTCACGTGTTTCACGTACGTCTTTTATCACTACTTTTTGGAGTGCTATAGGTGAAACTCCACTCTCACGTACAAAACGTATTATGGATCGAGTTGGATCTTTTCTAATTGATCTCTTCAGCTATAACTTGAAATGGTGCTCCATCTTCCTGTTGTGACCTCCTGATCCAGTTTTCTTCTCTGCTGTTCCCTTTTGTTAAACTTATTCACCGGTTTTTAAATGTATTTGAAGATGGAGGCCAGGGAATGAATGTTGGTACCATTACTGAAGGCATGAATGATCTTTTCAGCTCACCATTGCTCAACTGGGAAGACAGTGGGTCTGATACAAAACAATTTTAACCTGTTCTTTTTCTAGATGAATAACTCAAAGGCTTTTTCAGTGATTTTTATGACAAATGATATCAAGATGACTATACGTCTTTACCGAAAACCTGAAAAAAGGAAACTCAATTAGTTTAGTGGCTTTTAGGTATTAAACATTTGTGGGATAGACAATTATGCTGTAAAACGATTTGGACAATTTTGTTGTTACACCCGGTATATATATATATATATATATATATATATATATATATATATATATATATATATATATATATATATATATATATGTATATATGAGCAGCAAACTTTCTTTTTTAAATGTTTCACTGAATGCGACAATGAAGGTTTTATCTAATGCTCTTACAGTTTTTGTTTTTGAGGGACTATGAGTGTATAAAAATTGTCCGTAATTATTATTGTCTCAAACACATTTCAGCAAATTCCTTAGCCATTTTCAAGAGATTCGTTGTTTTCCTGTTCATGTTGTCGCTTAGGTTTTCTGGAAATAGTTGTCATTCTAAGGTGTGCTAAGAGAAATCTGTTTTTGATTCCACGTTAGGGTGTCTTTTAAAAGACAGATAATACGTTACTACAGTTGTCAAATAGAGTAAGGTACACGTTTGGCTTAAATTCTTTTATAGCCTCCCCTCCACAAAGAAAAACTGTAAGAAAGTTAGTAAAACTTAATCAAAAAGTTATATGGTTATCCTTGTCTGATACACTCATTTAAATGTGATTATATACATATATATATATATATATATATATATATATATATATATACATACACACATATATATATATATATATATATATATATATATATATATATGGTGGTTAGAACGTTCGCTTTCTGACCATGAGACCCGGATTCGAATCTCACCACGGTCGATTTGTCAGGAAGGAGATTTTCTGATGTTATGGGAATGAATCAACATCGATCCCAGGGTGTGGCACCTTTGGAAAGTGCCTAAAAACATTCCACAGGTTGAACCAAACCTTGTGAGTGAAACTGGATAGACGGAACTATTGGGAGCTGTCAATATCTGTGCTAGAAGAAATTGCTGATCACGCTAGATAACACGCTCTCTCCCAGAAACTGTAACTAAGGTCTGTTCAGTAGAGTTGCAGCATAAACCACATCTGATGGGCTACATATATATATATATATATATATATATATATATATATATATATTTCCAAGAGAATAGAATCCAGGTAGAGCTCAATATCTAGGTCAGAGCAAGAATATAATATAAAGGCTCAAACACTAATATTCCATGGTTATAATTTATTACATTGGAATCCTATGAATTGGATCGTGATTACGATTCCAATGTAATAAATTATAACCATGGAATAATATTGTTTGAGCCTTTCATTCGGTGATTATACGTAAACAATATATATATATATATATATATATATATATATATATATATATATATATATATATATATATATATATTAATAAAAATACCATTTGCCACTTAGCTGATCGATAGTTATATTCAGTTTCATAGATGATCTTTTGTAATTATTCAATCCACTCGTCAGGAGATTTCAGTAACTGACTGCCGTTTTTGTCATTTTTCGTTATTTTTAGACTTTGAAGTTTGATGTAAATTATGCGCAAGTTGGAATACACTCATTAGTGGTTTTAAGTAGATCTTTTTTTTCTCTTTGTGTGTGTGTGTGTGCGCGCGCGGGTGCATGTTTGTATGCGTGTATGTGTCGTGGTTATTTCTTCTTACCGCTTTCTCGTCTCCTTACACACTCTCTCCCTCTCTATTCTTTTCCCTTCTTTTTCTCTATCCCGTATTCCATCTTTATTCGCGAGGAATATTTTCCAAGATCCCCGATAGATAACTGTAACCACTTGTATATATGCTATGTTTCTTTTTTCTCATACGTACAATGAGGTACGGAATTTTAAGTACCTTTCTTTTCCTCTGCAATTCATTGATACCAGTTCTTGCTGGAACCGATTAGCAATCTTAGTTCTTTCAACCTACCATTAGATTCGTTTTAACATTCTTTAGTTTTATTTTGAGTAGCGCAAAAAGAATTTTTCTCTGGGGTTCTATATTAAGGAGCTTTTATGGTTATTTAAGAATAATCTGTACTGATAGGGAGGCTTATAGTCACGTCATGTTGAAACACCAATTTACGTATGATCACCGAATTTAAGTAAAATCAGTTCCCAGACGGGTGACCGCTTGGGAATACCGGGTGATGTAGGCTTGGATGTGTTGCAGTTTTTTGTGTACATTATGTACTAGTTAGCCAGTCAAAATGACTTGACTCCTTTTATAGTCCACCAAGAGAAGGGTTAACCAATCAGAAGACGTAGAATATTCAATCCGTCGTGTATAAAGGCGGCCATTTTGTTTACTCTATCCGAATGTCCAGTGCCAGCTTGTCAGGCGAAGAGGAACAGAAGGAAGAACTACTGAACTACGCTCTGCTACTTTTACCAAAATATCCACTGCTAACCTGAACTACGCTTCCCTACTGTCTTCGAAATATTCACTGCTAACCTCTGGATTCTATACTCAAAGACGACCGTCATCATGAACAACAGGATGTGCTCGTGGTTTAAGGATAATGGCTCGGAATTGTTAATCAGAGAACCGAGTTCCAATTCCAGTTGGGTTCGTTATATTCACCTGCGCGCAAATACTCCTTGGAAAAGTATAAATCTATTTCTTATCCTTTTCTACACCACTTCTCCTCACCAGTTATGGATTAATTAGTATAAGTAAAACCGTTATTAACTAAAAAATAAAATAAAATTGCGTACAAAATATTTACATTATTTTTGTTTTAAAGAATGAGGCAGCCAAAGTGACTTGGGAAATCACAGCTAGAGAATTGGGGACACCCTCAATCGGAGACCATTTGAGCGGACTGGGATAACTCCCCTGAACGTATTTTTAACTGGGTCACACTTGCAAGCTTATGCCCTATTTTCACTATGTCACCATATCTGTGATGATGGTGTCTGACATAACTTTATCAGACTCAATTTCATGACGAGCTCTGTATATTTGTCCCACAGAATCACTTTTTTGGCGGGTCGCTTTCTCTCATTCAATTACAAGAATAATCAGCGAACCACAGAATAATATTGTGAGAAAGCTAAAATCTAATCGAATATTTAATTATGCTTATATTATTGGATTGCTAAGAACAATAGTATAGCCTAACAAGAACAGAACATTCAAGAAAGCATCGGGACGATCCTAAAAAATAACCTACCATAATGGAAAAATACTCCAAACTTAAAGAAAATAAAAGTTTTATTGTCAAAATATTTATGTTATTATTAAGAGGACAGATCACACTATTTTTAATATTTAATTAATTTTTTTCATCCTTTTGAAAACATTCAAAATTTTGATGAAAAATCTTGTTTTTCTTGCGTCAACAAGTGGACTATAAATTAGCATTGCAAACTTTAGCGTCTTTTTGGCGGTGAAAGATTAATTTGAAAATTCTTGCAAAAATCAAATAATTGGCGGATTTTAATGAAACTTCCAAGACTTATTCACAAATGAATTATTTTAGAAATGTTTTTTAGAACGTCTTATTAAAACTATGTTTTTATACGTGTATCAAACTCAAGAAAATCAATCAAGAAAATAGTGACTATATTAAACAAAAATAGAACACTTTGGATAATTTAAATCATTAGTTTTCTTTTGAATATTGTTATTAAATAAAACTATATTTACTGATCATATATCGTAAATCTTATTACAATCTGACAACACTTAATATTTTTAAAAAGAAATTTGAATTAGTTTTGTATGTGTATAAACGTGTTTTATAGATACAGTCGCCCACAACCTACATTATCAGAAAATAAGAATGATAACTATAATAAATTTAAAGTCAAAATTCTCTAAAATTCAAGAAAACATTAGATTACCGAGAATATTCTCTGAAATTTTTAAGATTATTGGCTACTTAATAGGTGTTATATTCTTCCATTATTTTTTACGAGTAAAACCGCTGTAGAATAACAGGAGATAAAAATTTATCTGTCAATGAGCTGTTACGGATCTGTTAAAAAGATGTCAACATAATAAACAGCTACCACCGTGTTAAAAAAATGCGTTTATGTGATATTTAAAACGTTAAAGTAAATAATAGTTGTTTCCAATGAGATTAAGTATTCTTTAAATTAGCAAATATTCCTCAAATAAAGTTTCAGAAAAATATATTTTATTTTTGGAAGATTTTTAATAAAACGATTTACGGTTTGCTAATTAGCGCAAAATTAAAAAAAAAATCAAAACAAACTCCTTCCAATCAATTTAAATTTGTTTTGAAATACGACATAGTATTCTGCTTAATGGAAATATTAAATTTAATCTATCAGCTCGAAATTAAAACTAAAATAAAAGTGTCAAGAAAGGTTTTTCTTTTATTTTTTTAAATTAATTTTAACCTTGGGTATCGCGTTTTTGTGGGGGTACCTTACTACGGCAAAAAGGATACTGAGGAGAGTGCTGGAGTAGTGAAGTGCCTGCTGTTACTTTTCTCAAGTGAAAGCCACAAGTTATTACTGATTGGAAAACTCAGTGAATCTAATTATTATAAAATACTGAGCAAAGTTCTCGTGTAAGGCCAATACTTGCTGTAACTTGATCTCTAGTGAAATTTACATGATACTTGTAGTTCCAAACAATATCAGAATTAAAAGGTATATTCAGCTGAATTTCTCCAAGAGAATTAGTGCCTTTCTTCGCTGCCCTTAATAACTGTGAGGTTTTTGATGCTGAGGTTTTTGTTGGTGGTGTTACTTTCATTGTCGGTTGAGTTCTTTCCGACTTCTTTTCCATGTTGTTGTTTCAGCCAGGCGTAGGCCAATCGCTTTCATCCGCGTATGGTTGTTCACGCCTCGGGCTGCCTTCGTTATTCGTGCCGTCCACTGCGCATGAGTGAACCGGATCCAATGAGAATCTAGCTTCAATAACAATCAAATTTTCGTCTCGCGTTTTCGACGACACTTTCCTCGTAACGCCTTCAGGTGAACCTTCTTTCTGTTAATAATAATAATAATAATAATGATAATAATAATAATAATAACAACAATAATAATATGAATGAAATATTAAAAAATATGTTTCGGTGTGGGGAACGAAGGTACGAACGATATAAACAAAACAAATCAAAGTAACAAAAATGGAGTAAGACTAAATATGATTGAACTGACATGAAAAATATTAACAAGAAAGAAAGCAAAGAAGGAAAGGAGAAGATATTACGAGAATGGGAGGGAGGAGGAGAGGGTGAGTCGAAAGCTGAAAGCAAAGAAGAGAGGGGAGCAAGTGGAGGAAAGACAGGGAAATTAGAGCAAGAAAAAAAAAAAAGAGAAGTGATGCGATAAGAGAAAACGCACGGTGTCAGAGTAGGAGTAGAAGTATGAGGAAGCGGAATGAATGGAAATCGAAAAGGTAGAATTGGTAAAAAATAAGAGGGGGGGGGAAGAAGATGATGAGGAGGAGGGGAGAAGACGAGGAAGAGGAAGTGAGAAAGAAAGAGGGTAAAAAAGAAAAAGGAGAAGAAGAAAAAAAGGAGTAGGAATAAGGACGTGAGTAGGGAAATAAGAAGGAAGGCGGCAAATAAATAAATAAAAAAAGAAAGAAAAAAAGAGGAAGAATGCTAATATGGAAGTGAGGATAAGAAAAGAAAAAGGGGAGAATGAAAAAGAGGAGGATGTGAGGGTGATTGTAAGCAATTGGGAATGAAAAAGAGACAGAAGTAAAGAAAATGAAAAAAAGACGAACAATGACAAAATCTAGAGAAAGCAAAAAAGCGAAAATATTAAAAAAAAAAATGAAAGATAGAAGCGATAAAATATGAGGTTATGACGAAAGATAAGGTTTTCGGTTCACACCAATTCCCAAAATCTGACCAAAGGAGCAAGTATCAAACTGTTTTTTCGAAAATAGGTTCTTAGTGAGGTTAAGAATTGTTCAGTACCAACTCGTAAAACACTAAATTTAAAAGAAAGATCGTTTTGAAAAGTAAAAGGAAGACAAAATCAGCTGCAATTATTTTCATTAAATAACAGTGCAATTCGTTTGTTGACAGAAAAAACCTGTTAAAGCAAGAAGACGTTATTTAAATACTTTTAATAATGATAGATTTTAGAAGCTGCAAATTAACTGAAAGACCACACCTATAAATATACCCAGTAAATTTCCCTAACATCGGGTAATTTAACGTTTATTGGAAAAACAATTGCATGTATAAGAAAGATTTGGCAGCTGTAGCTAGGTAGATATATAGATATAGAACAGACTTATATATATATATATATATATATATATATATATATATATATATATATTGAGAGAGGGAGATAGAGAGACAAACATAAATAGAGATATAGATAGATAGATAGATAGGTAGATATGAAGAGACTGAAATAGATAAAAAGATATGAATATTCTAATATATATATATATATATATATATATAGGAGCAGAGAGAAATAGATATGAATATAGTGAGAGAGAGAAATAGATAGATTGATAACTATGAATAGATTGTGACCGATTAATATGAAGAGACTGAGATAGATCGATAAATAGACAGACAGATACATAGGTAGATAGATATGGACAGACTGAAAGATAGAGCGATAAAGATATGAAGAGTGATATATATATATATATATATATATATATTTATATATATATATATATATATATATATATATATAGGATAAGATAAGAAAAGACTGACATATATATGTATGTGTGTGCGAGCAGGCCGAAATAGATAGTCAGAAATGAGATAGATAGATAGATAGCAATATACTGAGAAAGACAGATAGATAGATAGATTGATAGGTATGAAGAGTGTGATAGATATGAAGAGGGTGATAGATAGATAGATAATGGGTTCAATATTCAATAAATCTGCCGTAACGAGGCAGAAGTTCGCCATTACCAT